CCTGTGCAGATTTACTTCTCGGCACTGCTTTGTGTTGCACAATGCACCATTCATGCTGACTCATCATAAATTTCTTCATGGGACAGGGTGGGGAACTGAGTGGTTTGGGGTAGCCGGTATGTGTTTGTTAATACCATTCTGTGGGGGATTAACCTATTCAGAAGCAGGGTAGAAAAGCAATATCTCTCTGCAACAGGGTTACTTACCTATACAGTTTTATTAGCTTCATAAGACAGCCATTTCCGGAGAGGAACCACATATTCATACATCAGTGCTGGAAAACTTTAAATATGGCTTTATTACTGTAGGTTGGAGAGCCTTGTGTTAATGACTTAATGGGGTTCATGCACAAAGTACAGCGTAATGGTGTGTAATTGCTATTTTGAGGTTGCATAGAGGGGAAAGATGCTCTTATGGCTAAAAGCACAGGACTGGAATTCAGGTGTTTTGGGTTCTAGTCTTAGCTCTGCAATAGACTTCCTGTGTGATCTTGGTCAAGTCAGGTATAATCTGTCTGTGCCTCAGTTTCACCTCCAGTAACATAGGTCTTTGAAGGATTAATTTATTAATATTAATAGACTGGATTTTTAAAAGCACTCAGCAGTGGCCTAACTCTGTTCCCATTGAGGTTAATGGCACTTTATCACTGACTTCAGTGGAAATAAAGTTAGGTCATTGCTAAGTACTTTTGAAAATCCCATCTGCTAAATCCATTTGAGACCGTCAGATTGAAGACTTCAAAGTACCGCACAATTCTTCTCCTACCCTTGCTACATACGCTCCTAAACCTTCTTCACAGAATCAGCTCCCTCTGTGCTCCCCTCCATTACCCTCACGTGTTGGAAACACTCTCCTTTCTTGTTTGCCATGTTCCCTCTCTCCCCATCGTCACAGTTACTGAGCTAACTGCAACTCTGACCCCACCTGGTCTTTTGGAGCATGCCTCCTCTCAGGTATCAGGCGTCTAGCCATCACCTGTCTTGGGGTGGAATCAGGCAACTCTTCTGCTCTCAGACCGGGCTCTGGGCTGAAGTCCCCTTTGATCAGCTGTGATGACCTCAGCAGGCCTGACTTGGGTTCACTGTCTGCAGGTCATCTATGTCTGGGAGCTATGGCAGTGTATCCAATAATGAAACAGCCTTCTTAAAGCAGAGTATTAATGATTTTGCACCAACACATTTCAGAGAAAACCTGTATTAAAATAATACAGCAGTCCTATACACATGTCTGGTTTACCGGATACCTATCCATCTTCCACATGGGGTGCCTGGTAGGCCTAAGATTCCTATAGCTCCACTCCCTTGAGACGGTCTGATTGGCACAGTCTGTTCCCTTCATTCCCAAACCATTTCTCCCTCCCCATCCTACTCCTCCCCCCAGCTGCAAGGAGAGTCTACTGTAAAAGCTGTTTAGTCTTTTTGATCACCCTCCTTCCCAGAGACAAGGTCACTTTTAAAATGTTTATAGCCCTTTGGTCTGATAGTTCCCAGCATTGCCAAAACAGCTGTGTCACTTTGGGTTGCAGACAGGATATAGGATGCTCAAGGCTGATAGCTTAAGTCTTTCAAGAGTGTGCTGGGAAGTTCTGATCTTGAGAATCACTGAGTTACCTTCCCATTTGTTCTTCCCTCAGCCCCCATTGAATTAAAGCAATATAGGAAGAGTGGATATTACTCCAACGTAAGCATACAGGCTGTCTTGATAGCTAGGTTAGACACAGTATTCATAACTTCATTACAACTCAGAATTCTGAGATTATTACATAGCAGCTGCCCGACGATCACAATCACCTTCAAAGTGCATTTCTACCCTAAAAAGTGACTGTAAAATTAGCATGCCTATCATGCCTGTTGATGAGTTCATAGCAAATTTGCTTAGTTTACAATGAAAAAACTATAAACTCAACCTGGAATCTGCGAGTCAAACTGTCCTCCTTCCAGCCCATGCCTCACCCCCACTATTACAAATACTGTCAATGGAACTTTACCAACAATTTTGTTGGTGATACACGAACCAGAAAATAATCCCTGCAGAACTCAAATGTAGTAAATGAGTTTGTCTCTAAAATCAGCATATTTGGCTCTCTATATATACACACAGTGATCTATGGAGTGGGAAGGAGCCATTTTAATATGCTCACTTTTCCTCCCATAACTGTACTTGAAAATATGCTTCTTCCCTACGGCCATTAAGTGAAAATCCACCAAGTATAATTCACATATTATATTATAGGAGGGGCTAATATTAAGGTTGCCTGACACTTTGCATTATAAAACACTTTTTTTCAGTTGCTCATAACTTTGCCAAACTTTAACTGTTTAGGCTGAACTTTTACATGCCAAGTGGCTTCCTCAGGCTGAACTTTTCTTTTGGAAAAATCTTAGCCAAAATAGTTTAGCCATTCGTGAGAAGGAGGCAAAGGAGAAATATATTGTTTGGCCCATATTAAAAATTCTGGCAACCTTTTCTTTGAGCAGCTCTAGAGCCTCCATGCTGTGAAACAGGGACTTGAAAGTTAGCAAGCAGGAAATATTGTGTCAGGGATTGGCCTTTTGCCATCCCCATGAAAACCCACCCACATTTGGCCAAATTATAAGCCTTTAAAAATCACAGTTTGAACATTCTCAGTAGAGACTTGTTTTACTTTAGCAGCTAAAATGTCCAAAGATTTCATCCTCATTGACCATGCTTGAGCTTCTCACAGCAACTATTACTTAGGCTTTGTCTACACTACCACTTTTGTTGGTAAAACTTTTGTTGGTCAGGGGTGTGAAAAAAAACCGCACCCCTGGCCACCATAAGTTTCACCAACAAAAGTGCTGGTGTGGACAGTGCTATGTTGGCAGGAGAGGCTCACCAGCTGACATAGCTAATGCCACTCATTGGGGATGGTAAAATTATGCAGGTAGGAGATCTCTCTTCTGTTGGCAAAGAGTGGCTACACAGGTGACCTTACAGTGGCACAGCTGTAAGGTCTGTCGTGTACACGTAGCCTTTTTAGACTGTGCACGCACCATCCCTACAGAGCACCTGAGCATGCTCCGTCCCCTTACAGCTACCATGTGGAACTGGAGTGTGCACATGCCATCTTCGCAGAGCAGCTGAGCATACTCCACCCTGTCACAGCGCAGAACATGCTTCTTCTGGCCCAGGCCTACAGGGGTGAAGCTGGACTTGTCTCGTAATGGCTGCTCTGAGCCAGGGTGGGGCTGGGCACTGGAACTGAGAGCAGGGGGTCTGACTCTCCTATGTGATTGATGACATCCCTGCTGAGACCCAGGCAGCATGGAGGAGGAAGCCACAGGAGTTGAATACAAAAGACGATATAAAAGCTGGACCAGGGGGAGGAAAAGGAGTAGATTGTAACAAGAAATTTGGTGAGAATGGAACTGGAGTGAGGAAGAGAGAAACCATGACTGGGACGGGCTGGGAAAGGATACTGGGACTGGGGAGGCTGGGCCTGGGAACTGTGGGGGGGAAGAGGTTTTGGACTGGGAGCCAGAAAGAAGGGAGGGGAGGCTGGATTTGGAGCTGGTGAACCAATTGGCTGGGGTATGACACTCAGATCAGACAAGGATCTGGGGGGAGATTGGGACTGGCTGGAAAAAGAGACTGTGAATCTGTGGGTGGGGGGAATGAGAGCAGATGGAGGTGACTCAGATCTCAGAAGGAACTGAGGTGCAGGGGAGAAATGCGACTGGCTGGGCAAAGACACTGGGGCAAGGCACCAGAAAGGGTGTAGGAAGGAGACTAAGATTGGATGAGGGGGCCAGGGAGTGAGATTAGGATTGGGAACCAATGGGGTGGAGGGAGACAGATCAGACAAGACACTTGTAAGGGGGCACTGGGACTGGCTGAACAAGGGAACTGGGCATGGGATGAAAAACCTGGGAATGGAGACTGGCACTGATTAGGCAAAGAGAATGGGACTGGGACAAGGAGCCAAGAGTAGGTAAGAAACAGGACTGGGAAAAGGACAGGTTGGAGGGGATGGAGCAGGAGAGGTCAATCTTGAGGCAAATGGGCAGAGATTCTCTGTGCCCATTTGAGCACATTCTACTCCAGGACCTGGAATGGAACCCAAGATTCTTTGAGTCTCACCACTCTTCTACTGTCAGTAAAGTTCTGGCAAAGAGTATGCCTCATTGTCCTCTAATGCTGGTCCACATAGAGGACAACAACCTACTTCTGCTCTCAGTTACTCTATTAGTTCAAGTGTCAGAGGTCTGTGTGATGGATCTAAAGATTCTCACCTGGCAGATGAATAATATGAGTATCAATAAGCTGCCACATGATGGAATTTATGTTTTTACAGTTTGCTTTTTTAAAAACCTAGGAAATTACAAACAAACAAATAAAAAACCCCTATGTTCACAGAACATTATTAATATTGCAAGAAGAAAGTTAGGAAATGCCAGAATCAAGGTTGCCCAGGCAACCTTATATTACCCTAACCATATATATGACCAGTGTAGTCCCCTGAAATTGCTTGGGGGAGAATAAATTAATCCAAGAAAAAACAAGGACACAGAAGGCCTGATTTTCCAGTTCCTTGCACTTCGTAGCATTTCTGTATGTGTAAAAAGAGTCCAGAGTGGTTGTCAGATGCTACCAGTTCAGAATAGTAACATCTTGCTCTCACTTCACATGTGTGTAAGGCCACCAGTTCAGCAGGATACTTAAGAAAATGTTCGGCTCAGTGATTTCAATGGGACAGCTCATACTGTTGGATTGGAGACTAAGAGCCTGATTCTTATTTTACAGTAGAGCCACTTTACACACTGTGGCAGAATACAGGGTATTCAAGGTGGGTGCAAATGTAAATTGCAGAGTAATACTGCCACAACAACGTATGGTGGTCATACCAGGAATGGTAATCAGGCCCTAACTGTCTGCACAATGTACAAGGCAGCGTAGAATCAGAGTTGAAAATGGATTAAATAATAGGATTAAATATTATTACAGTTTCCCAAATTTTACCAAAATATTGCAGGCTGCTATCTTTTGGCATCTATTTTTACTTATTTAACATATATATATAATATGCAAATTAACTGGCAGCACTTCATGGAAATATTTTAACAAAGCTGGAGCAATACAGGTGCACTATACAGGGACCTGTTGAACCAAAGAACTGTGAACTTATCCGAAAGGTTTCTGGGACTTTTTCAAACATTGTTGATGTTTATCATGTCTTTTTGTTTCTTCGTGACCATCCCCATTGCCTTGAATACTGGGAACCAGAAGTGGAGCTGAAAAGACAGAAAAGGTGTGTTAGCGATATGTTACCACTGAGTACCAGTCCTTCACAGACCCTGCCATCCAGCATCTTAAACACCAAGAGCTATTTTTGCATAGAAATCCATTAAAATATGTATTTGGGTAGTTCATTGTTTTTTGTACGTGAAAATAAAAAGTTCTTCTCGCTATATGCTATTTGCAGTATCCATCCAATTGTGTTTTACAAAGAGAAGTGTATTAACCATAGTGCATCTTGATCTGCTAGAAACTGAACATTGTTAGCAGTAAGAAGCTGATTACTAATACCAGGTATTTCATGTTTGGATCATGAGAACACCATTTATAAAGTAGGCACTTTCCACACATATATGAAGACACAGTCCCTGCCCTGAAGAGCTCAGAGTCTGGGAAGTCGAATATGCCAGTGCATGATTATCTGGCCTGTTTAGGTGTGCCTGTGTGTTCAAAGACAGTTCATGTGTTGTGTGGATAGGACAACATGGTGACAGAACTGCAACTTACCTCCGGCCCCAATACAGGAAAACACTTAAGCATGTACTAAAGTCCATTTCTATTCAGGAAAGTATATTAGCATGTGCTTAAAGTTAAGCTAATGTCTAAGTACTTTCCTGAACTGGGGCCTTTATGATCAAGCAGACCAAAACCCTGGATTCAGCTACACCTGGACTTTGGAAAAGTTCTGATCTGAATCTGAACTGTGCAGTTATTCTGAGAAAGCATGTGTGTGAGCACACACGCGCGTGAGAGAGAGAGAGAGAGAGAGAGAGCGAGAGCAAGCTCTTTTTCCATAGTGTTCATGGCTTACCGTTGTAGCAAATGAGTTCAATTTCCTTTTTACATTTTTCTGTGGAAACTTTGATCTTTTTCTCAGTAGTTTTGCATGCAGATAATGTATCCGTTTCATCTCTATGTTGGGATAAAATGAAGTTGACACAAGTATTTTAAGTTGCGTCAGGGTGGTGGAGAATAATGCAAATATTATTAGACAAAAGATGATGCATCCAAGCTGGATCCATGTTGAGGAGAGCAAAAACTCTGGCTTAGGGAGGCATTCATGCTTAAACAGAGAAGAGCTAAAGTTAAGATTCATTGTCTTGCGCTCCCCATTGTTGAAAATAAACGTGTTTTCATTTTTCTGTATGGGGGGAAAAAGCTGGTTTTAGTACTAATTACTTACTTTTAAAATAGTTATTGCATTTAATATTCATCTGTGCAGTTATCTGTATTAGACATGATGATCATTCTAGCCCATCTCCGGTCAATGAAGGATTGTTCATAACAGTATGTTTACTAGTGAACTCTCCAGTTGTGTTTGAAATGTGCCAAATGATAGGATTTTCACCATGTCTCTTTGGAGTCTGTTCCTCAGTCTAAGGGGTCAAACTGTCAGGAGCTTTTTCTTGATGATATTGTCCCTCTCCTTAATTTTATCCTTTTCCTACTGTATACCATTTCAATTATTCCTCTCTGGTGTTTGCACCCTTCAGATATTTGTAGTCATGTCTCTGCTTACTTTTCAGTTAGGCAAGAGCTAATTACACTCTCCTTTAGTCCAGATTTACAGGAGTGTAAATGAAAGTGATATTTTACTTCTTAATCTTTCCTCATAATCTACTCTCTCTACCCCCCGCCCAGTAACTTTTGTTGCTTTTCTCTGATCTCTTTGGTATATCTGATGATTAATAGCTAAAGAGCGGGTGAGGGAAATTTATTCACAAAGATACTGTGTAAATGAGCCAGTGGATAAGAGAAGAAAGACCACATTAGACATTCAATATGAAACATAGATACAAAAAATGGAGCTAGATTGTGCCTGCCTTTATCAGGAGTTAAGTGCTCAAGAGGTTGCAGGCTTCATTCTGCTTGACTAGTCTTTGGCCTCTATCTCTGAGACTGACAACTATGGGGCCAATTGTGGTGAAGATAGGGTGGTTTTTTTCATGTGGATACCTGCCTACAGGGTACTAGAACCGCTCCATAGGATCCAAATTTCATAGACTTCAAGGAAGTTGAAATAAAGGTTTGAACTTTGCCGCCTGGGCTCAAATCTACCAGGAATTGTACTCATTTCCCACACAGCAGAAAACTGAACAGTAAGCAGAAGGCTACATTGTTCAGTCAAATCCATCTCTACGTGACCAGACAGCTCTCTGCAGAACACAGTTTGGATTACCCTGTTTGTGTGCTACTGCCCTCTATTACAGAGACTCAGTACTGCTCATTTGTCCAGTACAGGTAGAACTGATCAAAAGTCAGAATCTCCATCCCATGAAATTCTGGTATTTTGACAATCGCTTATGTCCAGGTTCAAATATTGAGTATTTTTGGGAAATTAAAAGTCCTGAATGAAATGTGGAAACGTTTTGCTTCTGCTCAGTGAACTGCATTCCTTCACCTGAGCTGCCCTGCTGCCTCAAAGGAGTTGCAACTCTAGTGCCTCATATCCCCATTCTCATCTTTGGATCTGGCCCCGCAGCCAGATTACATCCCCCATGATGCACCTTGACCACAGGATTCCCATTATATCCCACCGTGGCCCACCCAGAGGGGAAACTGCAATGTATCATGTATGTTATCTGGACAGAGAGCCTACCCAATAGGGGAAAATGAAGCCCACAAACTATAAGTTCCCTGAGACACTGCAGTAATACAAGTAGATTTAATTAGACAAACTGTAATGTTTCAACTGGGGAAAATTCCAATCCAAAACGTTTTGTTTCAATTTTCCCACAGAAATCTTTGATTGTGCAGAAACCATGCTTTCCACAGGAAAAACATTTTGTTTGCAAATTCTTGACCAGCTGCAGTTACTAGTCTTGTAAAGTGAACAGCTCTCTACCTTTGGAGAAGAAGGGTTGGATTAAGGCAATTGCCTCTTAGTAGCCCCATTCCCTTGCAACCCCATCCACATCCACTCCTGTAAAGGGTGAGGGGAAAGAAAGAAGCGCAGAGCCTGCTGCTTATAGTACGGTGGAGGTGGAGAGCTGTTCACTTTACAAAGCACACTCACAGATGCCACTACTTGAAAAAATAAGAAGCGTGTGAGAGTGCCATAAAGCACACTGTTTGGGAAGGCTGAGGGACCATTATCCCCAGAAAGGCCACTGCTCAGGAGGGCAGTGGACCAGCATCTTCATGGAACCCACTGTGTTGGGAATTCCTTTCACCCTTCCTACAGAACCTATCGCTGTGCTGGGGGATGTTCCCACAACAGTCCTCTTTGTGGGTGGGGGCTGCCCCCTACAAAGTGATCTGGGTGTGGGACCTTCCCTGTAAAGCCCTCTGCTCAGAGCCAAGAGCATCCTTCAAGGACGCCACTGTTCTTGTCTGAGTGACACAGTGAAAATCCCCACATGGATCTTTATTTACACAGTTTGGGAGAAAGCCAGAGCATTAGAACTCTCTGCTTAGATGCAGAATGGAGGGAGGAGGTCCCCAGCCATCTGGTTGGGGTTGTCAAGGTCTCTCCCTCTGAGTAGCTGTGGGTCCCAAAGAACAGCAAGTGTAGCCCAGAGCCCTCTTCCCCAGACCTACCATGCTTATTGCTTAAAATTTGTAGAGGCAGGAAGTCTGGCCCTTTGAAGAAGGGGGATCTGAGGTTCTACCTCATGCTTGCTGTGAAGATCAGCAAGCATGAAACCTGTGAAGATCAGAGTGGCCCTGATGTGCAGTAGAGCTGCCATAGTACATTCCATTATACTGTTTATGCTCACATACTTCCAGAAATTTTGCAAATTGATTTCAAGGACTGTATATGAGAATCCTTTGCAGTGCTCACTGGCTAGGGAATAAAAAAGCAGTAACTGGGAAAACTTGAACTCAAGTTTTCTCCATAGCATTGTAGACCACCCCCAGAAATATGAGAGGCAGTGGATTTGAATTTAGTAGTCTCTGGGTTTTAAAGGTGAGTTTCTTCTGTACTTCCCTTTTGAAGAGGGGCCATCAATTTTATTTTATTTATTGAAATGAGTAAGAGAAAGGAAAAAAATCCCTTGGCAGATCAAATATTAAGTAATTTTAAATCCCTTTCTGTTTGGTTGTAACTTGAAGCAAAATACCTAATTATTTTCCTCATTTTAAGAACCCTCCTCTTCAGAACACCTGAGATTTTTATAATTGTTTCTTGGATAAATGAACTCTTTTTTTTGGGGGGGGGGGGGAATTAACCCCAAGAGGAAGTAATAAGAAATGTACCTGCTGAGCAGCAAGAAATCAACAGTAGAGGAATGAACATGTGCTACACATAGCATGGTACACATAGTTAAACATCTTGAAATCCCTTTGAAACTTCTTGATTCCCCAAGGTATCAAGAAGTTGTGTACTTTATGTAAGGTTTCTAGGCCTTAATTCTGCAAGCCACCTGGGGCGGGCAGACCTCCTGTGCCTTTGCAGGCCCCACTGATCTCTATGTGGCTCCACCCATGGAGCAGCTTGCAGGATCACAAACTTTGTTTGCAAGTATCAGAATTTGAGGGTAAAATGTTGATTGTTCCCCCCCCGTGGCATTCCATTGTGAGATCCACTGTAGGTATTTAGCAAAAAGAAAAGGAGGACTTGTGGCACCTTAGAGACTAATCAATTTATTTGAGCATAAGCTTTCGTGAGCTACAGCTCACTTCATCAGATGCATACTGTGGAAAGTGTAGAAGATCTTATTATATACACACAAAAAGCATGAAAAAATACCTCCTCCCACCCCACTCTCCTGCTGGTAATAGCTTATCTAAAGTGATCACTCTCCTTACAATGTGTATGACAATCAAGTTGGGCCATTTCCAGCACAAATCCAGGGTTTAACAAGAACGTCTGGGTGGGGCGGGGTAGGAAAAAACAAGGGGAAATAGGCTACCTTGCATAATGACTAAGCCACTCCCAGTCTCTATTCAAACCTAAGTTAATTGTATCCAATTAGCAAATGAATTCCAATTCAGCAGTTTCTCGCTGGAGTCTGGATTTGAAGTTTTTTTGTTGTAAAATAGCGACTTTCATGTCTGTAATCGCATGACCAGAGAGATTGAAGTGTTCTCCGACTGGTTTATGAATGTTATAATTCTTGACATCTGATTTGTGTCCATTTATTCTTTTACGTAGAAACTGTCCAGTTTGACCAATGTACATGGCAGAGGGGCATTGCTGGCACATGACGGCATATATCACATTGGTGGATGTGCAGGTGAACGAGCCTCTGATAGTGTGGCTGATGTGATTAGGCCCTGTGATGGTGTCCCCTGAATAGATATGTGGGCACAGTTGGCAACGGGCTTTGTTGCAAGGATAGGTTCCTGGGTTAGTGGTTCTGTTGTGTGGTATGTGGTTGTTGGTGAGTATTTGCTTCAGGTTGGGGGGCTGTCTGTAGGCAAGGACTGGCCTGTCTCCCAAGATTTGTGAGAGTGTTCGGACATCCTTCAGGATACGTTGTAGATCCTTAATAATGCGTTGGAGGGGTTTTAGTTGGGGGCTGAAGGTGATGGCTAGTGGCGTTCTGTTATTTTCTTTGTTAGGCCTGTCCTGTAGTAGGTGACTTCTGGGAACTCTTCTGGCTCTATCAATCTGTTTCTTCACTTCCACAGGTGGGTATTGTAGTTGTAAGAATGCTAGATAGAAATCTTGTAGGTGTCTGTCTCTGTCTGAGGGGTTGGAGCCAATGCAGTTGTATCGCAGAGCTTGGCTGTAGACGATGGTTCGTGTGGTGTGATCAGGGTGAAAGCTGGAGGCATGTAGGTAGGAATCGTGATCAGTAGGTTTCCGGTATAGGGTGGTGTTTATGTGACCATCGTTTATTAGCACTGTAGTGTCCAGAAAGTGGATCTCTTGTGTGGACTGGACCAGGCTGAGGGTGATGGTGGGATGGAAATTGTTGAAATCATGGTGGAATTCCTCAAGGGCTTCTTTTCCATGGGTCCAGATGATGAAGATGTCATCAATATAGCGCGAGTAGAGTAGGGGTGTTAGGGGATGAGAGCTGAGGAAGCGTTGTTCTAAATCAGCCATAAAAATGTTGGCATACTGTGGGGCCATGCGGGTACCCATAGCAGTGCCGCTGATCTGAAGGTATACATTGTCCCCAAATGTAAAATAGTTATGGGTAAGGACAAAGTCACAAAGTTCAGCCACCAGGTTAGCCGTGACATTATCGGGGATAGTGTTCTTGATGGCTTGTACTCCATCTTTGTGTGGAATGTTGGTGTAGAGGGCTTCTACATCCAGAGTGGCCAGGATGGTGTTATCAGGAAGATCACCGATGGATTGTAGTTTCCTCAGGAAGTCAGTGGTGTCTCGAAGGTAGCTGGGAGTGCTGGTAGCGTAGGGCCTGAGGAGGGAGTCTACATAGCCAGACAATCCTGCTCTCAGGGTGCCAATGCCTGAGATGATGGGGCGCCCAGGATTTCCAGGTTTATGGATCTTGGGTAGTAGATAGAATATCCCAGGTCGGGGTTCCAGGGGTGTGTCTGTGCGGATTTGATCTTGTGCTTTTTCAGGGAGTTTCTTGAGCAAATGCTGTAGTTTCTTTTGGTAATTCTCAGTGGGATCAGAGGGTAATGGCTTGTAGAAAGTGGTGTTGGAGAGCTGCCGAGCAGCCTCTTGTTCATATTCCGAACTATTCATGATGACAACAGCACCTCCTTTGTCAGCCTTTTTGATTATGATGTCAGAGTTGTTTCTGAGGCTGTGGATGGCATTGTGTTCCGCACGGCTGAGGTTATGGGGCAAGTGATGCTGTTTTTCCACAATTTCAGCCCGTGCACGTCGGCAGAAGCACTCTATATAGAAGTCCAGTCTGCTGTTTCGACCTTCAGGAGGAGTCCACCTAGAATTCTTCTTTTTGTAGTGTTGGTAGGGAGGTCTCTGTGGATTAGTATGTTGTTCAGAGGTATGTTGGAAATATTCCTTGAGTCGGAGATGTCGAAAATAGGATTCCAGGTCACCACAGAACTGTATCATGTTCGAGGGGGTGGAGGGGCAGAAGGAGAGGCCCCGAGATACTGAAATTGTGGAAAAGCAGCATCACTTGCTGACCTAACACTCTCACAAATCTTGGGAGACAGGCCAGTCCTTGCCTACAGACAGCCCCCCAACCTGAAGCAAATACTCACCAGCAACCACATACCACACAACAGAACCACTAACCCAGGAACCTATCCTTGCAACAAAGCCCGTTGCCAACTGTGCCCACATATCTATTCAGGGGACACCATCACAGGGCCTAATCACATCAGCCACACTATCAGAGGCTCGTTCACCTGCACATCCACCAATGTGATATATGCCATCATGTGCCAGCAATGCCCCTCTGCCATGTACATTGGCCAAACTGGACAGTCTCTACGTAAAAGAATAACTGGACACAAATCAGATGTCAAGAATTATAACATTCATAAACCAGTCGGAGAACACTTCAATCTCTCTGGTCATGCGATTACAGACATGAAAGTCGCTATTTTACAACAAAAAAACTTCAAATCCAGACTCCAGCAAGAAACTGCTGAATTGGAATTCATTTGCTAATTGGATACAATTAACTTAGGCTTGAATAGAGACTGGGAGTGGCTTAGTCATTATGCAAGGTAACCTATTTCCCCTTGTTTTTTCCTACCCCGCCCCACCTCCCCCCAGACGTTCTTGTTAAACCCTGGATTTGTGCTGGAAATGGCCCACCTTGATTATCATACACAATGTAAGGAGAGTGGTCACTTTGGATAAGCTATTACCAGCAGGAGAGTGAGTTTATGTGTTTGTGTGGGGAAAGGGTGGGGGTGAGAAAACCTGGATTTGTGCTGGAAATGGCCCAACTTGATTATCATACACATTGTAAGGAGAGTGGTCACTTTAGATAAGCTATTACCAGCGGGAGAGTGGGGTGGGAGGAGGTATTTTTTCATGCTTTTTGTGTGTATATAATAAGATCTTCTACACTTTCCACAGTATGCATCCGATGAAGTGATCTGTAGCTCACGAAAGCTTATGCTCAAATAAATTGGTTAGTCTCTAAGGTGCCACAAGTACTCCTTTTGTTTTTGCGAATACAGACTAACAGGGCTGTTACTCTGAAACCTGTAGGTATTTAGAATGCCAATTACTAGAGAATTCATAGATCATTTAGGTGGAATCCTCTTCCTAGCACACAAGCTTTTAATGCCTGTTAGTCAGCTTGGGTGGCTGATGATGCTGTTATGGGTAAAGCAGCCCAGAATAAAGAGTATAAATTGTTAAAATGGCCTCCGGTACAAAAAGTACTGTGTATAGAGAGCTGGAATCCTTGTGTGTTTACAAGGAAATGAAGTTATTCATAAAGAGGAATTAAACACTAGAGCTTTCTTCTGAGACATATCTTCCATCTGTTGCCTTTCTCTGTGATAAACCAAGGGCGTCACCATTTTGTGTCAGAGTACTGGTTTCTGTTTAAAATATTCTGTGATTTCAATCCCTCCCCTAAGAAATCTTTCAGTAATGTCACACTCCCAAGAGTTTGTATTTAAACAATACGTGAAGATTCAGGGTAACTCGTTGCCAGAAAGTTTATGGTGATTGGGCTCAGTGGCACAAATTTATGAAGGGGAAGCTGTTGTGAATAGAAACCACAGGGAGGCTGGAAGTTCCTTATGGAAGACATGATCTGGAACTTACTTTGTGTAAGGGTCTAACTAGAATAAAGTTGACACCTCACCCATTCACCTGACTGATTTTGTTTGCGGCACCTACTTTGGCCTACTGCAAGTTGCAGGCGGCTCTTTTAGATGGAAGCCATTTCTATGTTATAAATGCTCAAGGGAACGCTTTAAATAAAATGTGGTCACAGAGATCTTCTTCCTCACTCAGGAGCAAATCCAAATTGGAGACTGCATGGAATACATGTGTAAGTGTCACTGTGCAATATATTTGAGGAACACTGGGGGGTTGGTAAAATAGTTTTAACGTTTGCTCCTGTGTGATTCAATATTCTGTTAAATGGTGAAATCTTTAAACAACTCAGCTGCACACAGAGACATCTCTTCTGTCACTTTCATGGTAATATCATTTACTATAAAAGTGGTGACCTTCAGTGATATTATCACTAATAGGCTTCATGGATTATGCTCTTGGGAGCAAAGGACAGAGAGTTTCAAGCAGAAGGATCTCTCTGTAGAACTCCATACCACCAGAGAGCATCTTGTTAGAATGCAATGCAAAACTTATCTCTTTTTGTGGACCTTCCCCATAAGACATCAACATACGGAATGGCTGGTGAAACTGTCCCTTCTCCTATATATCTTCCCCTAGAAATATGAAACCAAAGAAAGAGCAGAGAAGTGTCTGGTCCCATACAGCAAAATTACTTGAAGCATTGTATTTGGCGCACAGACACTATGGTAATGGCCCTACTAGAAATACGTGACTAGATGGGTAACGGTGACTTCTCTGGAATGAAAGAGTCGAGAGAAGTATCTATGGGCCTGATCGAGCAACCACTGAAGTCAAGAGGAATTTTTCTATACTAAAACTTATCAGGAGCAATATATTGTATTATAGGTAAAGTACTTACTTGGTACCTGACTTTCAAATTAACCTCTAGCTTTGGTAATGCTTGGAGATGCTTGCTCACTGAAAAAATTAGCCAGTAAAGCAAATAATCTACTGCTGCAAACAGAACCCAGATGCAAAGATTAGTAAATACAGGGATTAGAATGCGTCCTATGCTTTTCCTTTCCTTGTGTGTTAGGCGGAGGGATGGGACTATCACATACTCTTTTCTTTCTTTTTTACTGAGTGGAAGAACACAGGGCTTTCTTTGCTGCCTTTGGTGCTCATCAAATTCAATGAACTGTTTTGTAATGTAAATATTCTTAAACTTCACACTATGAGTGCCCAAGAATTTTCTGAAGAAAAGGTATGTGCCAAGAGGAACTAGAAGAATCCCTATTATAGGCAACAGCCTCTGGCTTATATAGGGCTGTATAGCCAGTATAGAAGATATATGGTTAGTAACACTCTGGATTTGTTGTTTTGTGGTGTTTAACTTCATTTTCAAATCTTCATCTGAAATTAAGTAAGAGACACTGAATTTGTCACTCAGTGATATTACTTCTTCCACTGGGTTACTTAAACGTTTAGCCTCATTATAAATCCACTGAATTATTTTAATATAGAGTTTTATAAAGGCAAATTGCTCAATCTCTAGATTGCAAGCTACACTGTCTGCCAATATCTTTAGGTTGTGAAAAATATTTTGGATCGTGCCAGCTACCACAACACCAGTCCCAGCAGCAATAAGCGCATTTCTACCTTCACGCAAGCTGCAAGAAAGAACAAACAGCGTGCCAAAGCAGCGCATGTGCTTGGAGGAACACAACCCAATAGACAGGCCAATCCAGGTGGACCCAGAAATTGCTAAGGAAACCAAAGGATAGGGTGCTAGAAAGGAATGCAAGCCAAGAAATAAGAGGCTGCTTATGATGAAGCTAACAGTACAGCAAACTGCAAAAAGCTGCAACAGATTCTTCCATCCAGGCTTCCTCTCTGATACAAAAAGTCCCCAAATGTGTTGAGTTATTGAGGCAAAAATTCTCATTTTCTTCTGAAGGTTGGTAATCCACCTCTGGCTCATACTAGAAATAAAGGAAAACAAAACATGGCATTAGTCACAGTTAGCTGCAGTCTATTAGTAATATGCTTTCAACTGACTGACCAACAACTCTTTGCATTACAAAATCTGCAGAGGGGTTGGGAAGAGAATGGGGCAGCTAGAGAGGTCTCTGAACCAGAAGGATCACTTCTATGGTGCAAAAGGATAGCTCCAGCTGTATGCCCATTCAGTCCTTTACCTCTCACCAATTTCCCAGACAGAGAAAGGCAAAAGAGGCAGTGTCAAGGAAAACCTGGACATATGGTAACCCTATAACCTTAAAGACTCACTCTTGCCCTCTATAACCTTATTTCCTATGTGCCGCTGTGTGTGTGTGTGTGTATGTATGTGTTTAAATTAGAGCATTTTTGTGAAATTAAATCAACATTTGCTAGGTAATAATATATTTCCTGCAACCACATCCTTTTTTCCCTTCATTTTTTACAATATGTTCTTTATAGTGAGATTTCTCCAAAGATACAGGACAAATTTATACGCATATTAAAGTTTTAACATATTATAATGTCAGATACCAATTAAATAAGACAAACTATTGCAATTTTGTCCTGTAATAGGAAGCTGTTGTCTTTACAAATACCATTTGAAGATATTACACTGGGTTTTCTTTCGCCTGAACACAGCAGATTACCAGTAATTAGGCTAGTAGTTCATACAAATACCGTATTTTACTTGCACTTGAGTTTATGAATTCACTGAAGCGTTCATTGTATTGTGTGTCTCTTCTTCTCCTTGTTGTTACTTATTTGGTTTTAGCAGTATTTGCATATGATACAAAGTAAGAGAGGAGCAGGTTGCCTAGTGGTTAGAGCAGGGCCCTGATTCCAGCTATGTTCTAGTCTGAGACTTCTTTGTTCTATTCTCCACTCTGTCATTGCCTCATTGTGGCTTGGCCATCCAGGTGTGGAGCATAACCTAATGGCTCCTGCATGCTCTCAGCACTCATTGACTTTCAGTGGGAATGTAGGGTACACAACAGATCTTTGGAAATATGGAACCCCTACCACTACCAGGCTTGGAGAAGCCATTTAATCTCAGTTCCTGAGTTTACTCAGCTGTAAAATGACTGCAGTAGCAGTTGGTAGCTATAATGCTTGACACATCAGAGGAACGTTATAATTAATGTTTGTAAAGTATTCTGGGACCTTCAGGTGGAAGGTATCATGCCAGGTGTCAGATAAGTGACTCAGGGACAGAACTGGGAAGAGAACATGGGAGAAACCAAATTCTTACCCTAGCCACTAGAAAAGATGCTCCTTCCTATCTAATCTATCGTGAGCATTCTCATCTCCTTATGCATTGTATGTATTGCTGTGTGAGCTCATGATCTCCTTTCCGGTGGGTTAGTACACAAGGACAGAGTCCCTGGAATGATGACATGAGCTCAGTCACCGCAGAACATGTATTTATTATTGGAAAAGAGGACAGAATCACAACCTGTTGCTGAAAAATTCCTCTCAATGTTACTCCATGAGCCAGGGGTCCTTCCAAATTGGAGGAGCCACGGCCTTTAGGGGCTGGCTACGGATGTGACGCACATGCATACACCCAGCCAGCACAGTAACTCTGTTACAGTATGTAGTCTAGTTCAGCGTTCCTCAGATGTGGCCACCGTGGCCACATGTGACCACCAGGGGCTTTTCTTGCGGCCACAGCCTCCTGGGCTGTGATGGAGAGGGAGGGGCCCCTCCCCCTCCCTGTTGCACCTGGATGCACTGCCTTGATGTTGGTTGCTGGGGCTACCAGCAAGGATTGGATCCTGCCCCCCTCTGGAGTCACCTGGGGCACAACGCTGGAGGACCAGGCAGCCAATGAGTTCCCTGCCTTTCCAGGAGCGGTGGAGCTAAGACTTTGGGCTTCAGCCCTGGGGTGGCAGGCTGTAGAACTGGGGCTTCAGGCTCCAGCCCTGGACTCTGGCTTCACGACGGCAGGCCCCAGACTCCAGCCCCACAGCTTCGGGCTCCATCTCTGGGCCCTGTCCTCCAGCTGCAAGGCTTCAGGCTCTGGCAGCAGGGCTTCAGGCTCCAGCCCCCTGCTACCTTCTCCAGCCCCCAACCTCCATCTCCCCTGGCCCCCACTGCCTCCCTCGACTCTCCATGCAGGGCTTTATTTGTCCCCAGGCTTGCCAGGGCTGAGTAAGCCTGCTGTGAAAAGTGATACTTGTATGTTTGTAAATATCACTTTTCACCACAGACTTACTAGCTAGCAATAAATAAATACATGTCCAAATCACTGTAATTTGTGCATATTTATTTGGTTTTCCTAAAGCTAATTAAGCATTTTATGAAAAAGTGTGAGTGCGGTCACCAGCAAGAGTTGGTGGTCCTCTTTTGAGGCCACCAAAAAATTTGTCCTGGTAGTTAGCACGGGTAAGGGATTACTTGCGTATTATTATTGTAGCAGGATTTTGTAAATGGATTATTATAGTCTCACCTAATAAGGAAACCTTTAATCTACACATTAGAAAACAAATACACGTATTTAAATTTTAATATTAGCCATGTGCACAGTGGCGGGACAGAGGTGGATCAGCAGAGGGCCAGGAATCAGAGGATTTGCAGCTTGCAGGTACTTTAGTCTTTCCCCTCAGCAAAGGGAGTGGGTCCAGGACTGTGGAAACTACTCCACCTATTAGGCTGGTGTAGCATCTAAAGAGCAGCAGAGATTTTACCCCACAGCTTGTGTGAGAGGATTCCTTCCCCTCGTGCCCCTATTACAATACTCCAGTCCTCAAATGAGTTAGGTTAAATAGATCTGGTGTTCAATTTTTTGCAGGCTGAGACAGGGCCGTCCTTAGCCATAGGCAGAATAGGGCAGCCACGTAGGGCACCACTCTGCCTAGGGCACCACTGTGCTGAGAGTCCGGACAGACGGGAAGCAGTGGAGCATGTAAGAGCAGGGCTGCTGGGTCCTAGAGAGAGCCGCATGCAGCACAGTCTGAGGGAGGGGATTGGCTGCTGGGGTCTCTGGGAAGGGGAGGGGCGAAGGGTGGGGGAAGGAGGAACTCACCTGTGAGTGTGACTCTCTCCCCTGGCTTGAGGTGAGGCAGGCTCGGCGGCTGCAGTGTCCTTTGTTGCCCCCCATAACATCCATTCTTCTCCCCCACTCCTGCCACGGAGCACCCCCCGTTTCCCCCCACCACGGAGCACCCCTCTCTCCCCCCTCCCCTCCGGCAGGGCTGGGTTGGGTGAGGGGAAGGGGGGGGGGGCTGAGTGGGTGCGTGCTGAGGAATGAAAGTGACAGTAACTCACTTCCTTGGCAGCCAGCCAGGATTGGAAGGGTCACATGCAGCTGGCTGGGCCAGATAGCATGTGTGAAAAATCAGGGTGGGGGTTGGGGTAGGGTGACCAGATGTCCCACTTTTAACGGGACAGTCCCAATTTTTGGGTCTTTTTCTTATATAGGCTCCTATTACCCTCTACCCCCGTCCTGATTTTTCACACTTGTGGTCTGGTCACCCTAGGTGGGGATAATTGGTGCCTCTATAAGACAAAGCCCTAAATATCGGGACTGGCCCTATAAAATCAGGACATCTGGTCACCCTAGCTGGGGAGTGTGTCTCTCCCCTGGGCTGGCAGCAATCCGTCTTATCCGGGGGGAGCTGCGCAGGGCAGGATGAGCTGCTGTGGCTCCGGGGGTGCCCCGTCCCTGAGATCAGATGCAGTGCTAACTTCACCTTGGTCCATTGGGCTGGTGATGGTGCCCATTGGCATGTGATCAGACCTGAGGGTTTGCTGCTGCTCTTGCCGCTCTGCACCCCAAGAGGTGGATTTGCAGTTTTCCACCTATCTCCTCTTCTACTGCAGCTGTTGGACCAGCAGGCTGGGGCGTGAGTGAGCCAAGCATGAAAGCAGTACTGTGTTGCCATTTAGATTGTCATTTGACAACTTTGTTTGCCAAAAATGCTTGCTAACAATCCTGAATCCAATTTTAATATATTTTTTAAAATCAATATCTTAGCCAAAACCAGAGAATTAAGTTGTTGACAATTATTTGCGACAGGTTTGGCTTGGGGCAGGGAGTGGGCCAGTTTTCATCAGAGAAACAAAAAATGTTGACTGGCTTTCCTATAGCCCTGTTACTGCTAAATAGAGCCCTCCAACAACTGTAATATGCTCAGCTCCTTACTAGTGTATAGAGTGACCATATGGTGTACGCAGAGTCTCATGCTTTTTTTCCCCAGTGAGTCAGTGTAGCTTTTGCCAGCCCAGAGGTTGGGCAGCCAATGTCTTACGTTTTCACAATGTTTTGTCCAACTTTCATAAAGTAAATACACAGTTAATATGAGTTAAAAAGGCCAGGAACGCTTCCTTGTGAACAATCTGTGCAGCAGATCATGCTGGAACTGTGAGAATGTCAGTTTTTGATGGAACTTTAGAGGCAGTGATTTGTCATGTATTTCTGGCCGTGCCCAAAATGAGCTGCTATTGCTAATGTCTTTCCAAACAAAAATAAGGCACAATAGGACTTCTGTAACATTTCTGTGCTGCCTTAATCGAGATGAGATGATTCTGGGCTGACTTCATTTTGGTCCCTTTGTGCTTTACTTAGGAGTAAAATTAGGGTTATATTTTCCCACTGCTTGGAAACCCAGCTGATTAAACTGTATGATGCCATTGATCTATTTACAGTATAAGGTTGATAGAGAGTTGTAACTAACATTAAGATGGATGCCCATGATACATTTAAAACTAAAAAGTGGCTTTGTAAAAATGACATGAGTGTCCAACTCTACTGCGTCTCAGTCAGGGCGGAGCGCCTTGTGAGGTGTGTTCACACTAGCTCAAGGTCACAGACTCACAACTATCCTATATTAGTTATTTTAAATAATATTTCTGATAATCTGATAATTTAAACAGCTATTTCTTTAAAAAAACAATCTTATAAGTTATGTCATATCGAAAACAACTTTCTGGGTCACAAAAAAGAAAACGGAAAGATGAAATAGGATTAGCTGTACAAGCA